ATAAACATGTTTAAAGTTAATATATTTTTGGAAAATTAATTAAAGTTTTAAAATCGATTAAATTTTTTTAACCATTTGTTATAGATAGTTGTCTTTCAAAAATACCATATCAAAACATATTTTTGAAAAATTTTAATATTTTTGAAAAATTGAATTTTTTTTAGTATTTCAGAATATATCTATGTTGAAATTTGTGAAAAGATAAACTTAGAAGTGTTTAAGTTTAGTTAAAGAACTCAATATTTTTTTAAATCTTTGAAAAATTAGAAATACTGAAACCTGAAAAGTTAAACACGTTTTTTTAGAAATCTTTAAAACTTGTTTTGGCAAAACTTTAAAATATTTTTGGTAATTTGTTTAGTATTTTAGAACATAACATTTTTGAAATTTTTAAAAAGTTAAACATTTTATACATATTTGAAGTTTGTTAGATGTTTTTCGAAATTTTTGCGAAAATTTATTTTTCAAACTTTATAATTAAAAAAGAGAAATTTTTGAATACAAAAAAATGTATATCCTTTTTTTTAATTTTGAAGGAATTTGCATTTTTTGTAAATATCAGGAAGTTTGGGAGAAATGTATTTTAATCATATTTCTGCGAAAAATTTATTTTTCCAATTTCAATTTAAAATAGTTAGAAACTTTGAATCCAAAAATGTTTAATATCTTTATCACTCTTTCATTAAATTTTTTTCAGAGGTTTGGATTTTTTACAAAAATTTAGAATTTTAGGAGAACTCGTGTGTGAATTTTTCAAAATTTTTGCGAAATTTTGTTTTTAAACTTTTCACGCCGCCATTTATAAAAATTATAAAATCTGCGTAATTTCATAACTTCATAAATATTTTATTTAGAATTTTCTTTTTAATGCTAAAAGAATCATTTGTGTGCTTACATATACATACATATTTATTAAAACGTTACGCGCAAATTTTTGAAAAATATTGAATATATTCGAAAATGCTTTCTTTGACCATTTTATGTATTATGTGACCAATAGTGAATTCTATATATAATAATATATATAATACATTTATATAACAGCTGAATTGCTTTGCGGTTAGAATTTTTTGAAAATATTATGTTTTTTATTTCTTTTCTAATTTTACTATGGAATATTTTATATAAATATATTTATATGTTTTTTTTTAATTTCAAGTAACTAATATGTACTGAAATTCGAATAGCGTTAGGTGCTTGAAAAAATTTCAAATTCATAATTTTTTAAATTTAAAAAACTTTTTTAATGAATTTGATCATCATTATGTGCTTGACGAAAAATCTTTCAAATTCAGAGTCTTTAAATTTGCAGTTCTTTTTTAATGAATTTGATCATTATGTGCTTGAACTTTTTTCAATCTTTTAAACTCAGAATTGTTTAAATTTCAAAAACTTCATTTTTCATGATTTTAGGCATTATTGCGTTAAAAAAATTCGAATTCAGAATTTTTTAAATTYTAAAAACATTTTTTTAATRAATTTCATGATTATGATCATCAAATCTTTCAAATGCAGAATTTTTAAAATTTAAAAAACTTCTTTTTTGATGAATTTCAAGATTATAATCATCAAATCTTTTAAATGCAGAATTTTTAAATTTCAACAACTTCTGCTTCCAAGAATTGTGGATTATGTGCTTGAAGAAAATACTTCGAACTAAGAATTTTTTAAATTTCAAAATAATTTATTTTTTAATAAAATTGATCATTACTATATGTATGCTTGAAAAAAATATTTTAAATTAAATTTTTTTTAATTTCAAAATACTTTATTTTTTAATAAAATTCATCATTATGTGGTTAAAAACTTTTAAATTCAGAATTTTTTAAATTTCAAAAATTTTTTTTAAGAATCTGATCATTATGTGCTTGAAAAGAAAATCTTTTAAGTTCAGATTTTTTTGAATTTCAAAAACTTATTTTTTAATGGCTTTGGGTAATAGCATATTAAATAGTATATAAACTTTTAAGTTTTTATAAATAATGTCAATTTATCCTATTTATAAAAGTGCGGTTAGCGCTAAAATTCTTTGAAAAGTTTTGAAATTTGCAGTTATTTTTTTTCTTATGAAATTACATGGAAATAATAAAAAAAAAGATATTTATATATATTAATGCAAATTTAAGCCTTTAAATACAATAAAAAGTATAGGTGTACTTGTAAGTATTTGGTATTTGCTTTACAATAGCGCTAATCGCACTAAAATATTTATGTTTTTTGGTTTTCTAACTTCACCTGCGTGTTACATATGTTTTTAAAGGGAATATTAGTTGCAATTAGATACATAATTTTTGTTTAGATAATTTCCACTTCGTGTCTGCTTTACGGTATCATTTCGGTTATGTACTGGTTATGTACGTTTCTTAAATGTTTTAAATATAGTTTTCTTTTTTCGTTTGCGTTGATAAGTGTGTAAGTACGACAAATATTCATTATTATTTTGCTTTGTAAATTACTAGATAAATCATGCACATAATTTCTGCATATAAATAGATATATTTTAGCATTGTGACTGCTTCTATATAAAACTGCATATTTCAGTTATTTTCGCCAATTTCACATTTTAAAACACTTGAAATGCTTCTCCACTGCTGCGGTGCGTAATGAATTTAGCAGCATTTGTTTGCCGTTAAAAATTTCATTAATTCTATTTTCCATGGTTTTTCCACGAAAACAATACAATTCAATTATTTGTATGTATATATGTTAAATATTTGAAAATTGAAGCCAAGCTCTTGTTAGCAGTGAGCTCGGCTTAATTCACATTGGAAAATGTAGAAAATGTACATAAATGTGACATTTTTGTTTTTGTATTTCAAAATCGTACACATTCCCATTACATTTACATATGTAAGTGTGTATGTTCGGTTTTGCATTTTGTTCTATCCCCATCTATCAGTCGAGCTGTTAGCCATTGAATCGCTCGTTATTGTTCCAACCCCATTGCCGTGTGTATATGCTTACACATACGTTGCGCGCTCGCGTTCCCCCACCCATCTGCATCGCCCACTTAGCGGAAAAGCGAAGGACTTTGTCTCTATCGTACACACATGCCATGCCCCTAACCGTCTATGCTCTCGCCGGCGACTTCCTCAACTGCTGTCGTGCCTGCTGCCCGTTCGCCCACTTCCTCTTCTTCGTCTATTTCCAATTCTGTTTCTTCCTCTTCGGCCGCTGGCATTGCATCAGTCACATCGTTCGTTTCGTTTTCCGGCATTGCTGCTTCCACTTCCCACACGCCCTCGTCGGCTGTTTCACGATACTGTGCTTGTGTTTCCTCGCTTTGCACTTCATTTAGCGCCGCTTCATTGTCGCCTGCGTTCTTCACCTGTTTTCCTGTATTGTCACAGTTTGCTGGCGTTGGTGTGCCCGTTTCAGCCGCCACCGGTGTTTCGTCGTGCTGCAATACCGTTGTCGCAGTCGCTGTCGCTGTTGCAGTCGCAGTCGCAGCCGTTTGTTGTGGTCGCGACTCCATTTGCTTTTCGTTCTTTTCGTAATCACCCTCCCCGCCATTCTCCTCCCCATCCTCCTTTGTTCTTTTCCGCTTCTTCTTCTTCGTATTTATCCGTCTGCGATTAGCGCTCTCATCCACCCGCCCTTCAATGGCTTTGCCTTATATACGATTCTGATTCAATTGCGAACGTGGTGTGAATGGACTAACCATAACACCACTGGGCCAGATATTCTCATTGAATAGCTCATTGAAACGATAATCCGGTATGGAAATCTTAAATTTACAATATGACAATTGCGATAGATTCGCATCGTTCTTCACCAATTTGGTGCACTTGACTAGATTCTTATTGATCTTTAATTCCTCAGCCAAATGCTCGATAATGTCATCCTCACTAGTGGAGGTTGCGAATTTGCCCACCTGCACCCAGCGCCCATAATCGCAGACAACTTGCAGACGATCCGAATTACAGTTGTTACCAACGACGATGAGATTATTGGTTTGCTTCTTCGGGTCCACATTGTTCGCGTTGCCGAATTGGAAATATTGCTGATACATACGTGTCGAGATCTGATTCACGCCATTGTAGACTTTATTCAGTTTCTCCTCCATCGTCTGCAGCTTGGCGGCTAGCGCTTTGGGCGATTGATTTTTACATTCCTCACAATTGAAGGAAATCAAAGGGTTCTTCTGAATCGCATCGTAGATGGCATCGTCGATATTCACGCAAGTGCGATGAAACTTTTTCATGCAATCGTCTGAATTGCAAATGACGATGCCCTCCTTGCTAATCGATTTTTTGCACTTTCCACAATTTTCGGCCATTTTGCTGGATTTTTTAGTTCGTTTAGTTCAGTTAGGCTGACGATGCGTTTTCTACTGTTGTTCAATACACGTAACGGTAGTTTGCTAGTGTTTAACACTTTGCCACTATTTTGTCGGTATAACAGGAGAAGTGTGTGAAAAAATCCACCAGTACCTACTGAAGGCTAAAACTGAATTAATTGAACCAACCCGTGCTGAACCGAACACTGAACAACGGAATGGAATGAGGTACCCGTACAGTGGAGAAGTAGAATATTTGCTGAAGTGCGTGAGAAGTTGTGTGCGCCGCTTTCGCCCAAGCCGGTAACTGTTCCGTACGCTCCGAGTGCTGCTGTTCAACTGTTCGCCGTTTCGAAAGCAGTTACTCCCTGTCGGCTTTTCGGCTGATTTTCCAATGCACATACTATACATAATTTATACCAGTCTATGTATGTGTATCGAAAGTATTTACTTGTATACACACTTTCATGAGAATTTTCGTTCACAACACACGTAGCTACCTCATTCGCACCCCTTGCTGCCGCTGCAGCCCATTTATGCTTTTGCCACTAGGCACGGCAACGTCATATGCCGTCGTTTAACACGACTCTACCTTATCGGTTGTTGTGTACATACACAACCCCTACTACTACCTTTTTGCGCTTAAGTAATTCATCCCTCAACCCCTATTTGCGTTCGTGCGCTTTGCGTAATCGACACTCAGCTGTGTACACTGCTTGGTTAGTTACCGTGTTCGTCAGCCAGTTCTATGACCCTTGTTGTAGTTTTGTTTCCTGTTTTATTCGGTTACTTCGTTTCTTCGCAGTTACTTTGATAGTCGTTCCACAAAAGCCAGTGTTCGTTAACGGTGGCGAAATATTTGTGGAAACCAACCCCGTGGTAATTGCTTTGATCCAAGATATGGTACACATAACCTCAAAATATATTTAGGAGAACGAAAGCGTACTTTTGTATGTATGTATAGAATGCTTTTGCGTTTCTATGGAGGTTATATTGAATAAATCGATGTAATTTGAATCAAGCTACAGTTGTTAGGATATTATTGTTTTCACGAGTCTATTATGAAGAATTTAAACCGAAATGGGACTAACAAAGAAGAAAACGTCAAAAATAAAGAGATGATTTGTGAGAAAAGAGGTGATTTAAAGATGAGTAGATTATAGAATCAAAAGTTTGACCGCAAATTAAAAATACAAATTTGCTCCCCTCAGGACTTAGCAATATAAAAAAGCTGTACTCTATGCCACCATAATGCTATATTACGAAAGTTAATAGGCATTGCAAAATTTTTCTCTCGAAGACGCAGTTTGTAACCCTACTCTGATTCGTCATAGGTCTCCCTGTTAGAGTTTATCTTTAATGTTTGGTTGAGAAATACAAATTTTAAATGGTCGGTTTTAATCTATAATATATGTATGTATGTATGTGGTACAACTGGRTACTGGTGCTTATATCAGGTTCTTGTAGCTTTAAACTAGTTTTTCCGGAAACAGCACTTTTCGAATTTACTGCACTGATTACTCCATGTCTGTATTAAGTTCTCTAGTTTTAGTAATACTCTCAAAGCGTTTTTTAGTAATCATGTTGCATACTTTTAAACCAAGATATATATAAGACGGAAGACACGACTCAGGTGTACGCACGTCCAAGTACTCTCCGAGGTCCTAGCTTTGACTCGTAGCACTATCTTGTTGCAGAGAAGATACGCAAGAGCATGCAACAACAAAACGCACGTGAACAAACACAAGGAAGATTCGACCGTCGAAAAGCTGCAATCACAACAGACAGTCGAACGGTTTTCTATTCAATTTGTACTTATGCTCTCAGAGCACACATCAGCAAATCGGTATAAAAGAACCGTGGGACGGAATTTCAACCTTCTTATGTACAGCTGCAAAAGAAAACATTGGCTTTCGGAAAAGGCAAAAGAACAACTCGTATGATGAGGAGTGCCGTGTCGCAGTGGAGAGAAAACAGCCTGCCTGAAAAAAGCGTGCATCATCCGACGATTGAAATTTAAATGTTCTGCCCAATGCACAAGAGAGACCCCACAACCGTATTTCGTACTCGTATATCTTGGAACCAGCATTAACACCAATAACAACGTCAGTCTTGAAGTCCTACACAGAATAACACTTTCCAACAGGTGCTACTTCGGACTGAGTAGGAAATTGAGAAGTAAAGCCTTCTCTCGACAAACAAAAACCAAACTCAATAAGTCACTCATCATCCCTGCACTGTTAGAGGACGTTGACAACATCTGATGAGTCGACTATACGAGGTTTTCGAGAGAAAGGTTCTGCGGCAGATTTAAGGTAGCTAGGTAATGTTGTAACATGACAGGTTTTGTTTTGGATTAAGTTATCTCGAAGAGTCTGAGGTTGATTAAAGCATGGCTATAAGTTCCTTTAACTAACATTGGGAGTAACATGGCATTGAAGTTTCGATTTCTGTATTGATTCTTGACTTAGATATTTTAAAATGAAAATGGCGTAAAATATAAGGTAGTATATTAGACTACAATGGTTATAGCTCGCTTGATTGATAGAGTAGCCCATTAGTTTTTGTTATATAGGTAAAATGATTCTCGAAGGAAGTAAATTGAGTGTATTTTTGTTATACTTTTTAATTCTTCGTAAGAAATGAGGAGTATCTACCATTATACATAAAAGAGAGAAGGATAGAAATACCTTCGACGAGTTTTTGCAGCGACCCGGTTTGTTTAATGTACATATCTCCTAAGCTACTTAAGCTACAACCAAATTTGCTAAGCACGAATATTTTAAGAAGCTCCACCGACAATGTGAAATTGATGAAATAGGAGGAGGATAACCCCGCTTACTCCCAATAACGTTACTGTTAAAAACAATTAAAAGYGCGATAAATAAATAACTAATAACGCCAGTGACATTAAATTTTATCACCGAGATGGCATTAAAGAGCTTTATGAGAGTAAGAAAATTGGACATGGGAAGGGGCACCGCTCACTTTTTGGTGAACCGGACTAACCGGACTAATATGTTTTTGTGCTATAAATTGATTAATACTTTCATTAGTATCACATACCTAGTATAATATGTATATAGATTTTGAACTTCCGGGTGATTTTAGTATATGTGGTAATATGTGAGTTATCTTAATAATATTTGTGCTTAGAATGAATAAAATCGGGTGAAAACTCGCCCCAGACCCCTATCACTAACGGACCTTATGTACCTGAAGGTACTACCCTGGCTCGGTTATACCTCAACTTAGCTCTTCCTTACTTGTAGTACTACCTTTGCTTTGAAATCTTTAAAATAGGCCTCAGTTTCGGCGATTATATATTTTTTCGACTAAATTTCTTCCCATTTTGCATTATTTTGAGGTCTGAGAACTGCAAATAGTCGCTGGGACCGATTTAAGGAAACGATGAATCAGCAGCAAATTTAAAGTACCATTTACAAGGTAGTCAACAAAAATTATTCTATGTGCATCCCAAAATACTGGCGCCGTAACCTTCACAGCCGACTATTGCGTTTTTCCACGCATGACTGTCGATTGGACTTGTGGTCAAATGTTGGAACCATATTTCATCTATTATCACATATCGGCGCAAAGAGTCAGTTTTATTACCCTTGAACATATCCAAACACGGCTCCGAATCATAACTCGTCCTTGCTTTTCGTCAAAAGTGAGCTTGCGCGTCACCCACTTTGCACAGAGCTTTCTTTCTCATACTAAACAAGAAAAAAGGTTAACTTTGGCTGCACCGAAGCTAATATACCCTTCACAGGAGCATTTCTTTTAGTAATTATGTAATCGGATATGAAGAATTTTTTCGGAGTAATCCATGTCAAATTTCATGAAGATACTACATCAAATGCGAAAATTTCGTGAAGATACATTGTGAAATGTGACAGTTTTCCATACAAGAACTTGATTCCGATCGTTCAGTTTGTATAGCAGCTATATATTATAGTGGTCCGATATCGACAATTCCGACAAATGAGCAGCTTCTTGAAAAGAAAATAACGCTTGCAAAATTTCAAAACGATATCTTAAAAACTGAGGGACTAGTTCGTATATATACAAACAGACGGACATGGCTAAATCTACTCAGCTCGACATACTGATCATTTATACATATATACATATACTTTATAGGGTCTCCGACGCTTCCTTCTGGGTGTTACAAACTTCGTGGCAAACTTAATATGCCCTGTTCAGGGTATAAATATTCATGAATTATATCTGCAGACGTTCAGCTGATATCTCTAGAGCGCCTAGTAACTTCGAACAACTTCACTTTGCAGTCACCCAAAACAATTTTCTGGAATTTTTGATGTTTTTGTCGGTAACAACCTATTTTGGGCGACCACTGCGTTTACCATTTTCGGTGCTCATTTCACCACGTCTCAGCTTAGAATAAAAACCCTTGATGGTTGAGTTTGAAGGGAAATGTCCGCAAACTCGTCATCAAGTCAAGTTTATGCTTAAACTGTATTTTTTCCCTTCAAGAAGCAATATTTTATCAACACGCGAAATTCTATTTTTTATAATTACAAAATCAAATTGAAAAGAAGAAATTTCATCCATTTCATCGCCTTCAAAGTAATCMCCTYCCGCTGCAATACACTTATGCCAACGAATTTTCCAGTCATCATAGCACTTGGAAGAATTCTCCGTCGTGATGACCATCAGAGCCTTCTTTGATTCAACTTTTACATCCTCAATGGAGTCAAAACGGCGTCCTCGGAGTAGTCATGTGAATTTTCTGAATAACCAGAAGTTACAAGATTAACCAATGACATAGTAAAAATCGAAGAATTCACTTTTAGAGCCTCGCAGAACGACACCTATCTCAAATACTGATGAATATTTTGACGTGAAATTTAGCATAGATGTCACTAACAGGAATACCAACTTACAGAAAAACGATTCGAAAAACACGCGAAGTATAAATTCAAAATTCAACTTTCAATTTGATCACAGTAGTAATTCACAACAAATAAGAGCTGCCCAATTTATACACATGCCTTTTGAAGGTTAGGATGGATTTAATTCTGATAGCGCCATTTATGAGTCAGGCCAGGAACTTTTCAATGGACCTGCTACATATACGGCTAAGTCGCTCTGAAGGTTTGGGATGGTGTAGCGGGAAGGAGTCGCGATGACAGTAGAAAGAAATATTATATTTGGTGTGGGATTTTAAGAGATTTTTACTTTCTATCATAAAATTCCTCATCTCTCGAAAATATTTGAAAACAAATAAAAGCGTATTAAAAAAACAAACGTCAACTTCGGCTTTACGTAAGCTATAACAGCTCTCAGAGGTGCATTTCTATGTGTATAGTAGTAAAAATGAGAAATATTTATTTGGATTGTTAGATGAAATTTATATGAGTCTTTCTACCGAAAAATCTTGAAATATAAACTATAGATTTTTCCAGAACCAAATAGGCCTAATTTTCAAAACTTCAGATATTAAATATATTTTTATAAAACCAGCCGATATTTAGATATCGTTACCGACACCAGATTCTGCGACACACACTACTAAATTAGTTCTCATATATGTGGTTGTTAAAGACATAGAGCGATATAGGAACACTGTACGGATGCTCATCACTGGAAGTGTGCCCCAAAAACGTTATTGTTATTTATCTGTCAGGCAGCAGTTTGTGCTTTCCACTCTAATTTCACTCATTTCTTCTAAAAATACATTCATCGACAATGCTTTGACAAATCAAAGCAGTTCCTGCACGTCGTTTTGTTTACCAGCAAGTGCCTGATGCCAAATGCCAAAAATGCGCTGGCAGTGTGGCACGTGCAACAACTCAGCACTTACCTGCCAATCCAAAATGTTTGTCACCCAAACTGATGTTATTTTTAGTAAATATTTGTTGAATATGCTAATTTTGGCAACGAAGTTAACAAATAATAGTTTGTATGTATTGGTTTTTGTTGTTAAAGAACGTAATTTTTAAATTTAACAAAAGCAATGGTAAAATTTTTCGTATACACTTTGGAGGAAAAATGTGCACCAAAACATGAACTTATATACGTTGAAGATATTTTTCTGGAAGCTTTTGGGGCAAACGATAGCAAAACTCGCCCGCACCAACGGCAACACAACTGAAGCTGAACCACACAGATGCGCTGTATTTATACGTTACAAGCGAGCGCTGCGTGTACTTGCACACCTTCACACATATGTACGCATATGTATGTGGATAGGTATTATTACATATTTATGTAATGCTCACCGGTGGTATCAGGAAACTGCTGCTACTCCTTTGTGGTGGGTGCTGCTCTAGTTATTGTCAGCATCTTTGTTGGCTTCTTTTGTTGTTGATGTTGTTATGTTTGTTGTTGAAGCTTTTTTTGTTGGTGCTGTTATGTTTGTTGTTGATTCTCTTTATTATTGTTGTTGTTGTTGTCGATTATGTATAATGTTATTATTTTTTGTTGTTGTTGTTGTATGCTTATCTCTTATTACTTCGTCACCACTTATGTGTGCACACGCAACGACAGTCAAGCTGATGCGACAGGGCAATTGCGCATGTCCTTGCCAAGTGGAGCTGCTCACAAATCTGACATCGCAATGTGTCTCGTTCAATGTTGATGCTGTTTTTAATTATGTGTAATTGTATTAGCTGTTAGCGCTTTGGAGGTGGAGTGCGAAAGCGCAAAACAAAATTAACGAATGTCAGATTGCGTATACGCCATGGCTACCTTTTGTTGCTCAGCTGTTTGCCTTTGCATGTGCGTCTATATGTAGTATATGTATGTGTGTGTCCATGCGTGTGTGCGTGTACAACACAACACATTTCGCCGTTATGCTCCCGCCGGCTGCCTGTGTGGGTGTGTTTTTTCTGCTAAATACTCGTATCTTAGCAAAATCCGTTGTTACCTATACGACTGCTCGTACGTCGCTCAGTAATGCAATCCCGGCATAAATTAATTGGTGTTGTGCCAACTAGGAGGACTTGTGTAACCGTCAACAAGACGCGATGCTATCTTCATGGCATGTTTGTTGTATAGTGGCTGCATTTAAATTAGGTGCATATGTGGGTGCTAATGTGGCATTGTTGACGTGCCAATGCTTTAAATTGTTATACTTGGCTTCAAATGCGTTTTGGCAATGGAAAGAAGAAGTGCAGAACCAGAGTTGAAGTATTCGCTGTCAAATTACCTAGTCACTAGAGTCATAGCCTAAAAAGGAAAATTTTTGAAATAATATAATTTCTCTATCGATTGTTCTAAAAATTAGTTTTATATTTATAAATAGATTTTAGCAATATATAGTAACATTTTGAAAGAAAACAATTTTATATTATTGAAGTAACTCACAATTTCCAGTACTCGCTTCACTGTTGAAGTAATTTTGTCCTTCTCCATATGTTGTTTGTCAAAAAAGTCTTGCGGTATTTTTATTGAATTTTCAATTGTTCATAAAATTTTTTTTGATGACTCATGCCCAGCTCATGACCGATGCTACGGCTGCTACTATGCCGGTCTCTTTCGACCCATTCAGCGWTTTTATCGCATTTTTCGACGACAGGCCTTCCGGAGCGTTTCGCAACTTCGACCATCTCTACACCAGAACGGAAACGTTGAAACTGTATCGGGCCCATAATTTTTATTGGCGGCTTGAGGTGCATTTTTGCCATTATCGCAGTAGTACTGTAAAATATGCAGTATTTTCTCTTTATTTTGCTCCATGCTTGCGACGCTATAATTCACGAACGACTTCAAAGAAACGACAATCAATCAAACACGTGTTAGCGCGTGAAATGAGCTTTCCGAAAAGGTATAGCATGACCCGATGCGACGAATAAAACAAGAACTACGCGCTCTCAACGCCAACTAGCGAAAATACCGCAAAACTTTTTTGACAACCTAATCCAAAAACCTTTTCTTTAATATCTTAGACACCACTTTCGCGGTTATAGTCGAGCTAACAATAGAACGCCAGTCGTTTCTTCTTTTCGCAATTTAGCCGCATAACGTCAACTCATCAGATGTTGTCATCGTCCTTGGACGATGGACTGCTCCATATAGCATGATGGGAATAATGAGTGAGTTGTAGAATTTGGGTTTTGTTCATCGAGGGAGGACTTTACTTCTCAATTGCCCACTCGGTCTTAGTAGCACCGGTTGGCATGAGTTATTCTGCGTTGGATTTCGAGCCTGACGTTATGGTTAGTCTTAATGCTGGTTCCACGTCAGACGAAAATATCTACGACTTCAAAGTTATGACTATCAACAGTGACGTGGAAACCTACGCGCGAGTACGACGACGGTTTGTTTGATGATAGGAGATATTTCGTCATACCCTTATTCACTACCAAATCCATTTGCTTCGTTTCCTTATTTAGTTTAGAGAAAGCAGAACTAACAGCGTTGACGTTGAGATCAATGATATCGATGTTCTCGGGGTTCGCTAGCAGCTGTACACTCTTATATATGATTGTACCTTCTTTATTCAGCTCTGTAGTTCGAATTATTTTCTCCAGCAGTAGATTGAAACAGTCGCACGATAGAGAGTCGCCTTGACTGAAGAATCTTTTGGTATCGCGCGGTCAAAAGCAGTTTTAAAATGGACAAAGATTTGGTGTTGACCCTTTTTTCACGTTTTTTTTTTCAAGATTTGGCGCATGGTGAATATATGGTCAGATATTGATTTTGCAGGCCGATGGCCTTTAATTTTTCACACAATACGCTCGATAAAACCTTATATGCGATGTTTAGAAGACTTATCCCACTTTAGTTGGCGCAGATTGTAGGGTCACCCGTTTTGTGCATTGGACAGAGCACACTTAAATTCCAATCGTCGGGCATGCTTTCGTCTGACCATGTTCTTCAAAGAAGCTGACGCAAGCCCATTATCAGTTCTTAACGCGAAAAACCATAAGTGAGCGGTGCTAGAGCGGTTTTCGACGAAAATAAATTGGAAATAATATGAGTATATACATCGTTTGTCCGGAATGTAATTGGACTGAAATGCTTCCACCACGACTGTACTTCGGAGCATGCGCGCACCTACTGGATTCGGTAGAGGGCATTTCTAGCTAACGAACGAGCGGCTGGTCCGTTATCTTCGGGCACCTGGAGAGTCGGGACAAACATTTTCGCGCGACGTGTTTGGTGTGAGTGGAGCAAGCAGAAAATGCAGCGATCCTTAGAGCAGAGGTGCGCGATTAAATTCTATGAACTTTTTTCCTTCTGGACAAGCCGCCAATGCCAAATTTTTTGTAGAAGTCTTCAAGAAATTCAAGCGAAGAATCAGTCGGTTCCGACAAGGCATCGCAGCCAATTGGAAGTTCCACCACGGCAACGCACCGGCTCACACCGCCTTTCTTGAGAAGAGCTAACTAATCACGGKCGCCAACCCAATGCTTCCGCAGCCGCTCTACATCCTAAATGTGGGCCTCCGGACTTTTTTTGTTTCCTTGCCTAAAAAAGCCGATGAAAGGCAAGCATTTTGAGATTGAGGGATTCCTAGAGCATGCACCTCGGCTTTCAGCTATTCCGGAGAATGCATTCCGTGACGCCTTCAATACTTGGAAATCGCGCTGGCAGCTCTACATCGACCTCGAACGTGCCTATTCTGAAAGTTTTTTTTTGTTTTGAGAATTCACGATTGGATCAATAATTATTATCGACTCAGTCCTTTGCATTTTATGTGGCGATTTGGAAAATTATTTCTTTTGGAAAATTCTTCAGTCCATCCGAAAAGCGAATTTTTTCTTCTAGTATACTGGACTATATGTATTTCAGTTATTTTAAAAAAGCTGAAGAGTTTTCGAAATAGCTTATTTTTATCCGAAAATTTTTTTAAATTAAAATGAAAAAGAGAAAAATTTAACTTTCGTTGGTGCATATTTGTAAATATTGACATTTTGCGACATTCCCGACTTTTAAAGCACACGTGTATGCAAATATCTTCTCAGGTGTTTATCCAGCTGCTCCCATGACACGACAGTGAGGTTTACAATATTAACATGACTTTCTCCCAATTTATTCTTAGCATAATTTTGAATTTATAATAGCTATTCCAACTGAACCTACACACACGCCGGATCGGCAAAAGTGCATGCATATGTATGTATACATTTAAAATCCCTTACAAGCATTTCATTAACCATAAAGTTCAGAGATTTCCACATTCGACAAATGAAAGATGGCGTGAGCTTTTTGTTGTCAAGAAAACACGAGGTTAAACTTAAATTTTCATAATAATAAACCTAAGGACTATGCCAATCCTTTTTGTATTCGTTGCTTCACTATGCTTGACACATACATACCTGCATAAATACAGACTTACATACGCAGACATATGTATGTGTAACTTGTGTTTCTATTTATGCACATATTTGCTAGGAAACACTCGTGTGGTTTGCCAAGTCCAATCGTCGCCAAGCTCATAAATATTTACTTACTTCGATGGTAAACACTTGCCATCCGAACTAATACACTGCACACACACACATAGATGCATACTTACGTACTATATGCCTGTCACCTTATGTTGCCGATATATTTCGCCTTAATTGGTTTGGACAAGTTTAACTTGTTAGCTTGTTGTTGTGGCTTTATTGGATTTACATACATTTAATCGGTAAATCCTTTAACGTGTCCTTAGACAACAGCTTTTTTAATTGAAATGCAATAAATTAATGTTTATGTCTCTAATATTAAGCAGATAAATAAGAAAGTAACCGCAAATTATAATTTATACATAACCAGTATTCTACCTAAAACGCGTGTGGCGACACACGCCCGCATAATGTGGCTGACAGATCGAGAAGACTGCAGGAAATATCTGGAGTAAGACACCAGGGAAACGATGCAGCCTCTATCGTGCACTTGTCCTGCATTGTCAAGACTACACTGTAAGCATCCGGGGTCCCCACGGTATAGTACACTGGTGTCGATAGTGAGGAGGGTCTGTTAAAATTCGCGTAAGGCGCGTAGCATTTTAAAGGATGACTACTCCTCCTGGACCTAATAACTGAACTACATCTGGTATTGCAAAGGACCAAAACTGGTCTACGTATGGCTCATTGGCCTACGAGACTAACCTAACCTTAACTAACCTA